GGCTCTTTCTATAGTGCTCTGACATACAGCTGCTCCAAGGCAGTTCTCAGTACATAGATGTATAAGGGAAGCAACCGTATTCATGTTACCAGACTCCTTGAAAGGTTGAGAGAAATGGGATTGTTGGGTCTGAAAAAAAGAAGGCTCTTGGGAGACCTTGGAGCCCCTTCCAGTACCTAAAGTAATCTCAAAATTAATCTGGAGAGGGACATTTTACAAGGGCACATAGTGGCAGGACAAGGGGGGATTGCTTTAAGCTGAAAGAGGGTAGATTTAGATTAGATATTAGGAAGAAGTTCTTCCTTGTGAGGGTGGTGAGGCACTGGAACAGATTGCCCAGAGTTGTTGTGGATGCTGCAACTCTGGAAGTGTTCAAGGCCAGGCTGGATGGGGCTTTGAACAACCTGGTTTAATGTAAGGTGTCCCTGCCATGGCAGGGGGTTGGAACTTGATGATCCTGGGATGCTGGGCACAGTTCCTCACTTGGCAATTTCTGCCACAAATTAATTGCTTGTGCTGCAACAAGAGCACTGCCATCACCTCTCATCTCTGGGCTTTCCTGGAGAATGTGTACAGAGTTATGCTGATGTGATGTGGCTGCCAGAGGATGGTCTAAAATGAGTAATGCCTCTTATAGTAGGTCAGTTCTAGACCCGTATATTAAACTTTGTATTAAACACTTATGGGAACAAAAGTGGTGAGGAAAACCTGGTGCAATCAGATATCAGTTATTTGCCTCAGGGCCAGCACACAATTTTCTAGCATTAGGGACTTCTGAGACAGAAGTGTGATCCGTACATTTAATGGCTTTTGATAGAATTTTTTCCTGCACTTTTACTTTATCCATGGCTGTTTTACGGCATCCAGACTTCTGGCATTCTCACTTACCTGTGACAACAAATTAAAGAGACTCTTAAAAAAAAAAAACAACATGAAGAAGTAAAAGAAAACTATGATTTGATGTGCAAACATTAAGATTTCTCTCTGTGTCACTCTATTCATCTGATTTTCTGTAGACTTCTTCTGCTGGACTAAGACTCTCTCCTGCATCCCTCACTGTGGATACGTCCTTGTAGGTGGCTGTCCTTGGAGACAGGCCCTCACAGACATTTGAGAACATTTATTTTTCCTCTCCAGCCCTGCTTTGTTTCCTATTAAGGTGACAGTCCTGCAATCCCTCTTCATTAAAACAGGCAATTGGAGAGGAAAGTGACTCCCTGCATATGTCCAGCACTTGACCAGCTAAATAACAATTTGTTGCCTCAGGAAAGGGCAACTCCTTCATCTCCCACATCTCTGTGCACCACCCAGTGTGAAGTGCCTCTCCTGTTAGTCCCAGTATTTAATATGTCCTTATATCTGCAGGTGTCTGTACAAGCACACTGGATACAAATAATTACATGGTATATGAGTATTGCTCATTATGGTGTGTCGCCTTTGAGTTTAGCAAAGATTTCTGAACAACCTGGAACAAGAATAGGTCATGTCTTACCTAAAAATGCTTTTTTCTATGAAGCTGTATTTTTGTTGTCCCTGCTGTCCTTCCCTGTACCTTCTGTAGCTCACCCTCTTTTAAGAAGGGTGCACACAGTTTTCAGAATCATAACAAAATTCAAGTCAGGAAGAGCCTCAAGAAATCCTCCTGGTCAAAAAAAAGTCTTTGAGATTAGATCTGATTCCTGGAGCCTTGTCTCAGAAATTTGATTAATATCTCCAAGGATGGAAACTTGCTTCTGGGTAACCTGTTTCAGTATCTAGGCTAGCACTGATAGCAAGGAAATTTTGGCAATAGAATTTCCTCTCAGTTTTCTCTAACCAGTGGGTTTCCACATTCTGGAATAATTTTTGGATGGGCATCTGCCAGCCTGGACTTGATTAGCATTGTATCTTTGTGTCTTATTATCAACACCTCCAACTAGTTCTCCTGCAGTTTTGGCTCCAGGAGCTGTGACTGCTTTCAGACTGATTGCCCATGGTCACTCCTCGTTCAGATCCAGTTTCAGAATATTCACTTTGGTTTCATGGGCAGCATTCTGGAATTCACATCCTTCAGTCTTTCTGTCCATTGAGGAAAACTTCTTCTAAATACCATAGAAAAGAAAAGTCAATGGATCAAACCAGCTGTCTGAAGACCCTCCCCACAATTTTTCCTAGCTGGAATAACTGGGAAAACAAGAGACAGCTTTGGTACTTTCTTGCCTTTTTTCCTTTTTTTTTTTTTTTTTTTTTCTCTCTATCAAGACTTGAAAAACATCCTGTTTTCAGGTTTCCAGATGGCCCCAGCTCTATGATCATTTATTGTGTGGACATGAGGAGGCTGGTTAGCAATAAACAAAGGTCCACAAATTTTCAAAGGAATTCAAACCACTTGTTGAAAAACTAATTAAGTATCATACAGATTAGATGCATGCTACAGTGATTGCAAATGCTTTGTGTCTCAAGTGCTATCTTAGCACAGACATCAACTTCATAATTTTAATTTCCTTACACTCACCCTCTCTTCAGTTCCGCCCGAGTGATTTATTTGGGTTTTTCAAGTAGTATAAATTAGCATAAATTGAAATGTCAATATCATGGAAGAGAAAAAAAACAACACCAGTCAAAAAAATAAAACACTGTTGGGAAAACCATGTGTCTTTTTTCAATTCCCTGAAACATTTGTATTTTTAACTAGGGAAACATATCTACTTAAAAATGCTCTGACCTCATGTAGTTTAGTTTCTCTCATAAAGCGGAAAGGAGTACTTCATAAATCACAAAAGAGCTTTATTAATCTGTTGCTTTTACGCAAAACTCTAAGAACGCTAACAACTTGGCTTTTGCATCTCCTCCGTACACAGATTTTAGGAGCAGATGAATCATTGTCAGATCTAGTCCAATCAAAGCACAACCAAAATGCTGGCATCAAATACACACAGTTTTCACAAATATCATCACAGGTAATCACGTGCTGCTTAATATCTCTGTCAATTACCTGGATGAGGCACCCTCAGTCAGTTTGCAGCTGACACCAAGGTGGTGGGAGTGTCGATTTTCTGGACGGTAGGAAGGCTCTACAGGCAGCTGGGGCCAGGCTGGATGGACGTTGTGTGGCCAGAGGAGTAAGATTCAAAAAGAGCAAGGCCTGGGACCCGCCCTTATGTCCCAAGAAGATCCTGAAGTACTGCAGGCTGGGGGCAGAATGGCTGGAAAGATGCCCAGCAGGAAAGATCCTCAGATTTGGCCGCTGTCCTCCACTGGTTGACAGTGGCCAAATGTGAGCCAGCATGTGGCCAAGTGGACAAGGAGGTCAGAGGCCTCCTGGCCTTCTGTGTGGCCAGCAGAACCAGGGCTGTGACTGTCCCTCTGTACTGGGCACTGGGGAGGCCACACCTCGAGTGCTGTGTGCAGATGTGTGGCCCTGTTAAGATGTGATCAGTGAAAGGTGCCTATGCGCAAACTAAGGTGCCAACAAGACCATCTATCAAAGTGAACAATGAGGGGTTTATTTAACAATAAATGTGGGGTAGAGAGATAGGGATGGGAAAGAGGATGGTGAGAAGGAAAGAATGGGAAGGTCAAGGGTGGATTGGGCTGGGCTGGGGTGAGGTGGGAAAGAACAAGACAGAGGAAAGTCCGAGATGCTGGTCGGAAGCGGTGTCCCTTTGCTTCTTCCCCAGTGTGAGCTTCTGCGCTGGGGCCCTGGTGCCTCTTATGGAGCTGAGGACACCAGGTCATTCAGCCAGGGTTAACACCTTTCAGCAGTCAATTTTGTTGTTGGTATCCAGGGAGGCGTTTTCCTGGTTGCCATGTAAAGAGAGAATGGGTTTGCCTTCATTTACCTGCAAAGCTGAGGCCCAAGGAGCATTTCACAACTTCAAATGCAGCCTGGGACAGAGTGGTGATGCACCCACACAACGCAGCACTTTGGGATTCTGCAATGTGCTGCTGTCATCCTTCCTCAGCTGGCTCTCCCTGACCAGGCTGCCTTGCTGCTGACATGGGGTGAAGGTCTGGGGTCAGCAGCAGGACCTACCTTTGGCAAGTGGTTGCCTTGGCCACCATCCACCCATCCATCCATGCTTCCCCTCTTTTCATCTCCCTGGTGCCGTTGCCTCAGGGACCAGCCGCTTTCCCTGGGAGCTCGGCGTGCCCAGGGTGAGCCCTGAGGCATCTTTGGGCAACGCCCTGGTGCTGGCCCTGGGCTCACTGCTCCGGCTGCCCGCTGAGGCAGCTGAAGGAGAAAAGGCGGCGCAGAGCCCGCCGGGCCCTCTTGGCCATGGAGCGCCATCGCCGTGGGGCCGGGGGCTGCGGGACGGCTGCGCTGCCAGCGGGGCAGGCTGGAACGCTGCGTGCCAGGGGCTGGGCAGGCACCGGGCATGGCCCTGCCGGCGGCTCATCCCCGCAGGGCTTTTCCTGGGGAGGGGCAGCCCGGGCACAGCCAGCCTCCATGCCTGCTGCACCGGCCTCCTCCGCGGCATCGGCAGGCGAGGCGCAAACCGCGAACCCCTTTGGCTCTCCGGGCAGCGCCCTGAGGAGAGGCTCACTGTGCTCCTGGTCGCTGAGGTCGCTGTCGGGAGGAGTAGGTGCCGGCTCTAACTCTTCGTCTCCTGGCGGGATGGACAACGGGCTCTCTAGCTCTCTGTCCCACTCTTCTGCTGCTTTTTCTTGCTCCCGCTTCTCCAGGAAATCGTTCAGAAGAGTTTCCAGCGACAGCGAATCCTCAGAGTCAGACCCCAAGTCTGCCAACAGCTCAGGAGACACGAGCTCTGAGTAGTTTTGTGCCTCTCCTGTGGCCTCTTCGGTCAGGCTGCAAGTGCTGAGTGGCCCTGAGGGCTCTGCAGCTGGTTCCAGGGTGGCACTTGATGGATCCCTGAGGTCACATCTGGACATCATGGGGCTTTCTTCATTGCCCATGGAAGAGAAGATGTCTCCAAAGAGCTCTGCGTACATTTTCTCTTCCTCCACCTTCTCCAGCTCCTCTCTCTTTTGGCTCATAATATGAAGCAAATTTTCAGGCCTCACCCACTGCTGCTCATGAAGTGCAGTGGGCTCAGCTGGCTGACGAGATCCCATCTCCTCACAGGGCCTTCCAGACAAGGAGAAGCTGAGAAACCTGAGGTTTCCTCAGGCTCTGATGTGAGGAAGAGCTTGCTGTGGCCCTCATCCCAGGGATCTCCAGCCAGGGCACAAGCTTCTGCCCCTTCCTCATTCTCCTCCAACAGGGCAAATAACAGGGTCTGCAAGTCTTGGTCCCACTCATCTGCAGCCTGTGCTTCTGGGAGCTCTTCCTCCTGCTGCTTTTTCTCCAGCTCCTTTGCAGAAGTGGCACAGGGCTGTGAGTTTTCACAGACAGAGTGCCGCACAGGCTTCCAAGCCGGCCGCATCCCGGTGCAGAGCGGCATGCCGCGTGCAGGTGTCACGGATGGCAGGCAGTGGCCCTGCCTTGCCACTGACCCATTCCAGAGCCCTCCAGTTCTGCTCTCCAGGACACGTCTTCCCTGGGCTCTGCCTGCAGCCAGAGTGCCCCATGGAAGAGATGGCACATGCTCTGGCTGGCCCCTGGCCGTGGGGCCCGCAGCACGGGCTGTGCCTCCGGGAGAAGACCCAGAGGCAGCGGCTGCTGCTGGTGCTGCTGGCAGAGGGGGCAGCTTGACACTGTCCCAGGCTGCTCCCACAGCACGTGCTGTGCCCCTGGGAGAGGATCCAGAGGCTGCTGCCGCTGGCAGAGGGGGCAGCTTAACGCAGTCAGTGGCTGCCCTTGAGCTTTGACCACTGAGATGGTGTGGAGGGGCCAGTGTCAACGGAGGGCCATGGAGAGGCGGCAAGTGCAACACGGACAATCTCTGTGGCCCTGTGACACTGCTGCGGGGCACTGAGTGCCCGCCGTACTGGCTGCCCCTGCGTGTGCAGGACCAGGTTGGGCTCCGTGACCGGATGGGTCTGAGGGACAGAGTGGGCCTGCCGCCAGGGATGGCTGTGATGGTCGTCCAAGTGACCTGAGGTGCCGCCTGTGGCTGCCTGGGGGTCACCTGTGGGGAGCAGGAGGAGGCACGGGATGGAGGCGGCTGTGTGAGCACAGTGTCCCCCACGTGCCTGCAAGCCCAGGCCTGGCCCCAAGGCCGGTGCTGGCCACTGCAGCCAGGCTGGGCCGGGTTCCCAGCTGGGCTCGCTGCCTCTGGGGCATTGCTGTGCCTGGGCCATCCCAGCACCGGCCCCTCCGCAGAGCATGGCCTGGTGCCAGGCCTGGCTGTCTCTGCCCCAGGGCTTCCCCCAGCTCCCACTGCAGGCTGTCCCTCCATCCCCGGCCCTCACCTGGTGCCGCCGCCGGTACAGCAGTGGCTGCCCCTCACGGGGCTGGCCATGGGCATTTGCCTCCTGCTTTTCTGGCATTGTGGAGTGCTCTGCTGAACACTGGCCACAATCACCCAGGGTAGCTGCTGCCTCCAGAGAAGCTGCTGCCTCCTCAGAGCGCTGCTCTCCTGGGAGTGGCCACTGCAGGCTTTGGCAGCCCCAAGGGTCATGACACGCACCCGCGTCACAAGGGCCTCTGAGCACCATGTCACTGCGGGTCACAAAGGCCTGGTGGGCATGGCCGCCCCTTCTCCCAGAGGCCTGGTGGCTTCCATGCTGATGCCCCTTGACGCAAGGGCCTTTTTAATGCCTTTGCCCCTCAACTTTGCCGACGCTTCTTCCTCTCCCAGTGTCCCACAGCTCTCTCTTGTCTCACCTTCTGGTTCTCCCCTAAACATCCCCAAGGAAGCCCTGTGCCATGCCAAAGTGCTCCGCCCACCCAGTTCACCATGTATCCCAGCCCTTGGCACTGACCTTAGGCACAGAGATCATCAGAAAGGCAAAAGCCTCATTGGAACTTCATCTGGTCACTACTGTGAAAGACTCTAAAAAGTCTGCTTTAAAAAGATCAATAACAAAGCACGGCCAAGGAAAATGTCCATTCTTTTTTTCGGCGAGGGCACGGAGGGGTGGGATTTGGGTCATCTATATGCCAGTGGCCTCCTGGCATTCTGTGTCAGCTATAGAGTGGCCAGCAGAACCAGGGCTGTGATTGTCCCTCTGTGCTGGGCACCGGGGAGATCACACCTCATATCCTGTGTCCAGCTTTGAGTCCCTTCACCCTGTGGCTACATTTAATACACATTACCAATTCCTTGAGCAGTTATGTCATAAATATATGGCATATTCCAGATTAGAGGTAAGAGTATATTTAATTGATAGGTTTTCTCATTTATGGGTCATAATTAATGTAATTATATAACATTTCTTGTAATGAATTCCTTGTAGTTTGTTTATATGCTGGATAGATATAATTTGGTTTTTCTCCTGACAGGCTATACAGGATGATTATAAACAGCAAACACAATAAAGTCAAAATGAAAAAAAAAATTGGATGCAATACTAAATCCAAAATTCCAGTTGCTGTGGGTGGCCATCCCAAAATATTTTCCCACCAGCTATGTTTTTATCTTCCTTCACGCTTTCCAGGACGTGGTGTAATTTCTCTGCCTGGTGGTGGGTGGTAATCCAGGTTCATTGTCAGTTGTGCTGTTGTCAGTTCAGCAAGGACTCAGAGCATCAGTTTCTTGCCAATGCCAGATTCACTGCAGCAGTGACTGGCAATGGAACTTGACACAGTGTAGAGTTGGATCGTAGCAATTGGTGAGTTGTGAGGAAGCTGAATTTTTGGAGCTACATCCCATAATTTTGGTAAAATGACATATATAGCTATTAGAGTGATCATATGTCTCTGCAGTAGTGTTTTCTGTAAAGATAGGATCACACAGAGTTCTCATACAGTTTACATCCATTTCCACTATATGCAAGTGCAGTCGCAGGGGTTTCAACACAATGTTGACATTTTGTTAAACATCAGGGCAAATGTCTTAGTTCTTAATAGTATTGTTTTCACAAATAAATCCTTGCTGTTCCTATCCAGTCAGACATCAACATCCACAGTTGGCCATTTGCTCCCATTTGGCACTCATACTTGTTTATTCTAACAGATAGAGGACAGTTCCATTGTGATTTAATCACCACAATAATTGGTTATAAGGCATATACTGAAGCACTGAGTGTGGTTAAAGGAAAAGCTGTGGCTTTACCATCAGTGGGGTGATAAGTGTCATTAACAAGGTGCCACCAAGATTGGAAACACTTTCAGAGTGAGTGTCATAATCCCAAATTACCTTTTGTTTATCAGTGGTCAAGGTGCCCTCAATGCGGTCTCTTTTAATTGCTATTACAGCAAATTGCAACCACAGCTGAGGAAGACATGTGGTGAATGGTGTAGAATTTACCTATAGTTACCATCTCAGCATAAATAAAGAAGTGATGGTCTTCACCCTGTGGGTCAAGCTGTGTCAATGTGTATATTGGGTTCTTCTTTGAGAAGGATGAGCAATCCTCCACAGTGGATAACCTCATCTCCAGAGAACATGTGCTGTCATCATTCCTGATATCACAGAATCACAGAATCATTAATGCAGGAAAAGACCTCAAAAATCATCGAGTCCAACCTTTCACTGATCATCACCATGTCAATTAAACCACAGCACTGAGGGCCATGTCCTGACTTATCTTGAACACCTCCAGGCATGGTGACTCCACCACCTCCTTGGGCAGCCCATTCCAATGGGCTTAACCACCTTTTTCAGCGAAGAAATACTTCTGGATGTCCAACCCAAACCTCCCCTGCTGCACTCTGAGACCATTTCCACAGTTTTTGTTGCCTGGGAGAAGCATCCAACCCCCGCCTTGCTACAACCATCCTGTCAGGGAGTTGTAGAGAGTGTTACAGTGTCCACTGAGCCTCCTTTTCTCCAGACTAAACACCCACAGATCCCTCAGCCACTTCTCATATGTCTTACTCTCCCAACCCTTCACTGGCTTTGTTGCTATGTCGTTCCTAGAAAGGCAAAAACAACACAAGTCTCTTTGGAGTTTTACAGGCAGGTCACCCCTTCGTGGCTCAACTTGTCTAGCTGCTCATATTAAAGACAGAAGCTCCTTCTCCCTCTTGGAATGTCTCTGTTCTGTCTCTTTGAATTCAGTCGAGTTAAACATTAAAGGCCTCACTGTAAGAACCACACACTGACATCTGGCAGGCACCTGTTTCATGTGGTCAAAACATCAAACCCCAAAATATTTTCATTGTCCTTCTTAATCACAAAGTGAGTAGATGAATTCTTGCCTGGGTGCCATAACTTAACCTTCATGGTTTGGTGAACTTGCTCCATTTTCTCTGGTGACTTTAACTCTCCACAACCCAGGTCACATATCCTGCTTCTTGGTGTCCTATCATGTTAGTGCTGAAATTTGTGCTCCCAATCCTATCCGAAATTTCAGCTTATATTGTCAAAGACCAACTGGAATCAGGTTCATTCCATTTTAATGATGGATATTGTCTCATATTCAGAGGAACCTGAGGAAAATCACTGGTCATCATTTCCCTCATCACAATCATCAGGATCACCCCAAATATCACCATCCCAATCTTCTGGGGACCGTTAGGTTCCTAATTTGCATGGGGTTAGGTGAATGTGGGACCCACATGGACATCATCTAGATATTTTCTTCCAACTTTTGTATTTTCTCCTTTTCCTCCTGCAATTACTTCTGTAACTCTTCAACTTCCATGCACAGTAGTAACTCAGTTGCCCCTCTGCCTTCTATTCCGTATCTCAGATCTTGTCTCTCTAGATTTTGCTTTTTCCTGTCCTCACAGGTGTCTTCTAGGCAGCTGCCTAACATCTTACAAATATTTCCTTTTCCTCTACCATTTTCAATATTTCCTCTTGCTAATTTAATTTGATTTGCAGTCACACTCCAGTCATGTCAGTGGTGGTGAGCCCATTTTTCTGAGAATTTGGGACTCTGACTTATTCCATGCTGCCATAAGCAATCATGGATACTACTCCCATCCTGACAACTAACCAATATATTGTGAATGGGTGATTTAGATCACTTAAAGAACCACTGTCAAAGCTATCAGCAAAAGGTGGTTTTTATACAAGGTTGCAGAAGTGTGACTTAACAAAGTTTGAGGTCAAGAGTCACTCTGTTACTGATTTGCATAGTCGTTTGAACATTGATTCTAAACCGCCATCTGACAAGTCAAAATTGCCAAACTACAAGGTTATGCATGGTATCAGTCAATTACCAAATATCTGCCACGGGTTAAAAAGTCTCTCTGATTTCAGAATCATTCCAGCTCAAAGGGAAATTGCAACAGAGAGAGGCAGTGGTGCTGGTCACCCCCTCCTGGCAAAAGGTACTCTGCCTGCAAAGGTAATCAGGACACACCATGGACTCAAAGGCAGCAATGAATATATTAGAGATGAGGCACAAAGATGGTGAAACTGCTGAATGCTCTTTTTGACAACCTATGAGCTCTCCAGTTGCTCAACTGTAGAACTGCAGCATTTAGGGCAAGAGACATTTCATTGCTTATTAGTTTCTCTTTCCAGCTCATTTTAGAAAGAAAAGGATTCACATTTCCTAAGGCAAACTGTTGAATATCTCTGTGTCTATGCCTATTTTTATGGAGCCAGATGTGTTAGTTTATGTGCCTGTACAAGTAAAACTTCTCAAAATAGGAAACGCATTCATCTTTCAAACTCACAAAAGAGAAAGCCACCTCTCTGAATTACTTTTCTGCATGTTGGTGACAATAAACCCAAAGACCTCATTCTCATCTCAGTTAAATTGGTATCAACCTTCTTATTTTCCATCATTGCCCAGTTAACTTCCAGTTTCCAAGTGCAATACTGATACCTTTTGCACTTGAGGAAAGAGATTACAAGACTTAGTTTCATTTCTATTCTTAAAAAAGGACTTTTCTGATGGCTGCAACCTTTTGCTCTGCCAGAAGCTTTTGTTTTAAGAGTTTTCTTATTTGTACAAAGATCTAGATATTAATTTCTATCTGAAAGTCAACAAAGTTTGAAACAGAAATGAGATATTTATTTTAACAGAGAATAAGTAATTGTTGGAACTGATTATGACGGGATGAAGGGAAATCTACACTGCTTAACCTCCTTAATCAAAGTTAGATATTCTTCTTAAAAGAGTTGTGATAGGTCATTAAGCAGCAGTCTGAATGAGATTATAAAATCACGTGGAATGTCCATGTTTCTCCACACTCCAACCCTTTGAGTCTGTTTGTTTTCTTTTGGTGGATCTAACATTCAAAGCACTGATCCATCACACCATCCAAGCTTATCAAAGTAGTGAACCCTTACAAGTGTTAGCTTAAAACAAAATTGGTTGTATAGTATCAGTGACAATCTGAAGGCTTTTAAAAAGACTTCTACAGACAGGTGTGTGTTTTTCATTTAAGAAAAAATTCAGAAATCAGCAGGATATAACCAAGCTTCAGCACAGAAAGGGATAAATGCTGCCAGTGTAACATTATCCCTTCCATTCTGCTGTCAGTCTTTTCCCATTCTGGTTTTTCTCACTGTCAAAAGAC